ATTCCAAATCTTACTACAAAGCTGCAATGTGGTACTGGCATAAGGACAGAATACATAGAACAATAGAGTCGAACTGAGAGTCCAGAAATAAACCCATGTAGCTATAGTCAACTGACATGTTGACAAGGGTGCCACAACTATTCAATTGGGAAAGGATAGTTTCTTCACCAAGTGGTGTTGGGACAACCAGATATCCACCTGGAATAGAATAAAATTGGATCCTTATCTCACACCATATACAAAAATTAACTCAAAATGGATCATAGACCTAAATATAAGAATTAAAAAACCATAAAATTCTTAGAAGAGAATGTAGGGGTAGATCTTTATGACCTTGGATTTGGCAATGATTTCTTACATATGACGCCAAAAGTACAAGTAAGAAAAGAAAAAATAAATTGGACTTAAAAACAAATTGTTTTTTTGCATCAAAAGGCACTATTAAGGGAGTGAAGACAGCCCAGACAATGAAAAAAATTTTGCAAATCACATCTGTTAAGTGTCTATTATAATACAATATATAAACAATTACAGTATATAAACAACTTAACAAAAAGACAACCCAAATAAAAAAACAAGCAAAGAACTTGTATAGATATTCGTCCAGAGATAAACAAATGACCAACAAGCACATGAAGGAATGCCCAGCAACATTAGTCTTTAGGGAAATGCAGATCAAAACCACAATGAGATACCACTTCACACCCACTGGGATGGCCACAATAAAAAAATTTTTTTAAAAAGTATCAGGAAGTGGAGAAATTGGAACCCTTGTACATTGCTGATGGGAATGTAAAATGGGCAGCTGTTGTGGAAAAGTTTGTTGGTTCTTCAGACATTTAAACAGAGAATTCCCATATGACCCAATAATTCCACTCCTAGGTATATATTCAAAAGAATTGAAAAGTTACTCAGATACTTGTTCAAGAATGTTCCTAGCAGCACTAGTCACAATGGTCAAAAGGTAGAAACAACTCAAATGCCCATTATTGGATGGCTGGATAAACATATGCAGCATATATATACAAGGGGATGATATTCAGCCATAAAAAGAAATGAAGTACTGATACAGGCTACGACATAAAGGAACCTCAAAAACCTGCTTGCTCAGTGGTTGAGTGTCAACCCATGAAGAGGTCACAGTTCGATTCCATTTCAGGGCACCCCCAGTATGGAGTGTGCAAGAGGCAGCCAATTGGTGATTCTGTCACCATCATTGATGTTTCTCTCTCTTCCTTACCCTAACCCTCTCTGAAATCAATAAAAACATATTTAGAAACAAAAACATGCTTAGTGAAAGTAGCCAGACTGAAAGGTCATATATTATATGTTTCCCTTTATATAAAATATCCAGAATAAATCCAGAGCCAGAAAGCAGATTAATGGTTGTCAGGGGGTGGGGGAGGGAAATAGGCCGTGACTACTAATGGATAAGGGTATCCTTTTAGGGTGAGGAAAATGTCTTGGACTAGTTATAGGTGATGGGGTTGTACATCATGAGTGTTCCAAATGCCACTGCATCATCCACTGTAATATGGTTAACAGCTCATTTTCTGTGAATATTACATCTAAAAATTTTAAATGTTGAGCTTGGCCAACCACTTTTTCAAAAGTCCATGTGTTTATTATCTCCCTGAATTCTGATAGCCAACCCCATGAGAATGGATTGCCCCCTATCCCTTCATATTGCCCCCCAAAATAAATTCTAATTTCTTATCTATATAAAATATACACTCACCAGATAGTGTCTTGAGAGGAGGTACATAGACTATTAAATCTGATTGCAAAAAGACCACTACCTTGATAGGCTTCAGTGTCCTTATATAAACAAGATAAAGTGCCCCAATACTTTAATTCCAGAGCCATCAGTGTTAAATCAGTGCAAAGCCACACCCATGGTTTTTCTTCCATGCCCATTTATTTATTGAACCACTACCCCCAGGGAAGCGCCTGAAAAAAAGTAAAATGTTAAAAGATTCTTCCAGCCCAGCCGGGGCATGGCTCAGCAGTTGAGCATCAACTTATCCAGATCGAGGTTTGATTCCTGGTCAGGGCACATGCCTGGGTTTCGGGCTTGATCCTGTGGGGGGCGTGCAGGAGGCAGCCCATCAATGACTCTCTCATCATTGATGTTTCTATCTCTCCCTCTTCCTCTCCTTCCCTCTCTCTGAAATCAATAAAGATAAAAAATTCTTCTACTCCTGTCAGTTCTAAAATTCTACTTGAACTCTGGGTCTGTATATAATCACTACTGGCCACACTTCTGGTGAGCAAAGACTACTTTCAGCCAGGTTATCAGGAAATTTCTTTGTGGTCCAAAATCTAATTTTGGATTTAATACTATGTACTCTTGAATGGGCACTTTGTTCATTACATTGTATTGTTTTCCCCTTTAGCAACTATTAATTTCATAAAAACCCAATGAAATCATACAGGCCAGCAATATGATTACGTAAGTTGTAATCAGGGCTGCCATTCCTAAAATATTTTTTGCTTGGATAGCAGGGATTGCCATCTGCACAGAACCTGTTTTTAAATAAAGGTACTCTTTGCAAAGTTCATGGCCATTGGTATCTCACAGACCTGTGTATTAATTTGGGTATCCCCACATCGTCGATGTGTGACCCTTAACCTCCCCCTCAGGATTCTCTAAAATTGGGAAATAACTGGTAAAAATTAGTTCCCAACTGAGGAAGCTTGCAATTTGTCATCTCAGGAAATACAAGGGCATTCCTTTGTGCAACCCAAGTAGTTACTCCCCATCTTGGGGAATGATGGCCTGGTTCAACCTACCTTTAGGAATAAAATTATCAGTGTTATTTTACACAGGGTGGGGGTGGGGGGTGAAAGAATGTCACTGAAATTCAGATATAGATTTCATGACAAGCCTTGGGATTACTTTTACAAGAAAAACAAAACAAAGCAATTTCATAGTTTTGTTACCTTTTTTCAGACTACTGATGTTCAATGTCACCAACACTTCCGATTCAAGAAAAGCTTCAAAGGGCATGCTGAACCTGTGACTAAGCCACATGTACACAGGAGTAAGGAATGATGTGCAGAAACAGTTCAGAGGCACTATTTTCATGATTACTGAAGTTTATTTTTTAGTTCTAATACTGACTTTTTCATAAATATTCATCTCGCATCTCCAGTAAGGCTCCTTGAGAGCAGTGCCCACATCTTATTTTTTTTTTATGTTTTTATTGATTTCAAAGAGGAGAGGGAGAGGAA